GCCCCTGTCTGGCCCTGGACGCCCGGATTAATTATTCTGATAGTGCACTTTTCTTTGTTTTGTCTTTCTGAATGACATACTGGAATATGTAAGTGGCAGAATCCTTAATAAGAGAGTTGTAAAATATTGCTGGCCCCTGTCTGGCCCTGGACGCCCGGATTAATTATTCTGATAATGTACTTTTCTTTGTTCTGTCTTTCTGAATGACATACTGAAATATGTGAGTGGCAGGATCCTCAATTAGAGAGTTGTAGAATATTGCTGGCCCCTGTCCGGCCCTGGACGCCCGGATTAATTATTCTGATAGTGTACTTCTCTTTGTTTTGTCTTTCTGAATGACATACTGAAATATGTAAATGGCAGGATCCTTGATAAGAAAGTTGTGAAATATTGCTGGCCCCTGTCCGGCCCTGGACGCCCGGATTAATTATTCTGATAGTGCACTTTTTTTTGTTTCGTTTTTCTGAATGACATACTGGAATATGTAAGTGGCAGGATCCTTAATAAGAGAGTTGTAAAATATTGCTGGCCCCTGTCCGGCCCTGGACGCCCGGATTGATTATTCTGATGGTGCACTCTTCTTTGTTTTGTCTTTCTGAATGACATACTGAAATATGTGATTGGCAGGATCCTTAATAAGAGAGTTGTAAAATATTGCTGGCCCCTGTCCGGCCCTGGACGTCCAGATTAATTATTCTGATAGTGCACTTTTCTTTGTTTTGTCTTTCTGAATGACATACTAAAATATGTTAGTGGCAGGATCGTCTATAAGAAAGTTGTAAAATATTGCTGGCCCCTGTCCGGCCCTGGACGCCCGGATTGAATATTTAGATACTTCAAATTTCATTGTTTCGTCTTTCTAAATAACATACACTTCTTTGTTCTGTCTTTCTGAATGACATACTGAAATATGTGAGTGGCAGGATCCTCAATAAGAGAGTTGTAAAATATTGCTGGCCCCTGTCCGGCCCTGGACGCCCGGATTAATTATTCTGATAGTGCACTTTTCTTTGTTTTGTCTTTCTGAATGGCATACTGAAATATGTGAGTGGCAGGATCACTAATAGGAAAGTTGTAAAATATTGCTGGCCCCTGTCCGGCCCTGGACGCCCGGATCAGTTATTCTGATAGTGTACATTTCCTTTTTTTGTATTTCTGAATGACATACTGAAATATGTAAGTGGCAGGATCCCTAATAAGAAAGTAGTTGCTGGCCCCTGTCCGGCCCTGGACGCCCGGATTAATTATTCTGATAATGTACTTTTCTTTGTTCTGTCTTTCTGAATGACATACTGAAATATGTAAGTGGCAGGATCCTTAATAAGAAAGTTGTAAAATATTGCTGGCCCCTGTCCGGCCCTGGACGCCCGGATTTATTATTCTGATAGTGTACATTTCCTTGTTTTGTCTTTCTGAATGACATACTGAAATATGTAAGTGGCAGAATCCTTAATAAGAGAATTGTAAAATATTGCTGGCCCCTGTCCGGCCCTGCACGCCCGGATTAATTATTCTGATAATGTACTTTTCTTTGTTCTGTCTTTCTAAATGACATACTGAAATATGTAAGTGGCAGGATCCTCAATAAGAGATTTGTAAAATATTGCTGGCCCCTGTCCGGCCCTGGACGCCCGGATTAATTATTCTGATAATGTACTTTTCTTTGTATTGTCTTTCTGAATGACATACTGAAATATGTAAATGGCAGGATCCTTAATAAGAAAGTTGTGAAATATTGCTGGCCCCTGTCCGGCCCTGGACGCCCGGATTAATCATTCCGATAGTGCACTTTTCTTTGTTTTGTCTTTCTGAATGACCTACTGAAATATGTAAGTGGCAGGATCCTCAATGAGAAAGTTGTGAAATATTGCTGGCCCTTGTCCGGCCCTGGACGCCCGGATTGAATATTTTGATACTTTACATTTCATTGTTTTGTCTTTCTGAATAACATACTGAAATATCGTCGGTACAATGCCAAAGGCACAAATGTGCCAATTTGCCCATTTTCGCCTATGTGCAGAAGCATGTGCAATTTCATTCATAGTATTCAATGCCAAAAGCGCGAAAGTACTTGCTTATCCCCTCTCCTCCTCCCAGGCCGGACGCATTCCACGAAAGCGTCAGTTGGAGAATGACCGCTATATCGAAAACACGAATGTACCACGTTCGTGCTTTTGCCGTTGCAAATTATTTAACTGTTTGAGATTCAAATTAACGAATGTGCCACATTAAAATAAAATAAATAAATAAAATAAAATATTTATTAATCCTTTAAACTATCAGTAACAATAGATAGGATAAGTCAATATTACATGTCATAAATGGACAGTGGTATCAAGTTTTAATGGAAAAATAAGACGAAACGAAATACTATAACAAGACATTTACAGTGATGACTAACATAAACTGAGAAATACTTCAGTATTATAATTTCAAAATTGAAAAGTAGGATTCGAATTCCTCAACAGTATAGAAGCATTCTCTGACTAGGAGTTTTTTCAGTCTACATTTAAAAACAGCCGGGGATACCGCGTTTTTTATTTCATTCGGCAGACAGTTGAAAAAACGGCAGCCTGCATTGATTGGAGATTTTTTGTAATAGGAGTGTTTAGGCTTGTTTAGTTTGATATCATTCTTTTTTCTAGTGTTGTAAGAATGTGAATCACTATTAATGGGAAATGAATGTTTGTTAATGTAAATGTAGGTTAACAGTTTCATCAAATAAATTGACGTTACCGTGAGGATCCGTTTTGATTTGAAGACCTGTCTACATGATTGGCGACTACTTATGTTGAAAATGAGCCTTATGATTCGTTTTTGAGCAACGAAAATTCTTGTTATATCTGATGCCTGACCCCATACTATAATGTTGTATGAAATTGTGGAATAAACAAATGCATAGTAGACCTGCAGTAATGAGTCCGTGTTCAAAACATTTCTCAGTGTTGCCAAAATGTAAAAGCTTTTGTTGACTTTTTTGCAAACCATTTGTATTTGTTCCTCCCATGTTAAGTTACGATCTATAATCGTTCCTAAGAATTTAGATGAAGTGGAAGTTTGAACGATATGAGTATTAATTTCAAAGGTAAAATTAGAAGATATTTTATGTTTTGAATGGAACTCGATTACTACTGTTTTATTATGATTTATTATAAGTGTATTCTGGGTGCAGTAATCCGCGAAATCTTTCAGAACCGAGTCGGTTTTTTGCTGTAGTCTTTGGCGATCAGAATCAGATACCACAATAGAGGTGTCATCAGCATACATGAAGACCCTACCATTTTTTATGTAATGAGGCATGTCATTGACATAGGTTAGGAAGATCAACGGACCTAGAACACTTCCCTGTGGTGTTCCAAGATCTAAATCGTATTCTTTCGATTTGATTTCACCGATTCTCACTGTAATTTTCCTATCTTCAAGAAAGGACGTTATCCAATCATTCACTGGGCCACGAAGACCTAGGTAGTTGATTTTTTCGGAGACGAAATTACTATTAACCGTATCGAATGCTCGCGTTAGGTCGAACGATATAACAATTACGTGTTCATTTCTGTCCATAAGGTCATTTATGTGTTGAACAAATTCCGTTATGGCTGTTTCGGTAGATAGACCAGGGCGGAAGCCATGTTGGCAATCAGTAAGTATTTTATGCTTTGTGAAGAAATCTGTAATTCTCCTGCAAATGATCTTTTCAATTATTTTGGAAAATATGCTCAGGAGAGCAATTGGACGATAGTTCTCTATGTTGCTGGTATCGCCTTTTTTGAATATGGGAATGATGGCAGCGGATTTCAGGACACTAGGAAAAGTGCCAGAATTCACTGATAAATTTATGATGTCAGCAAGGTATTGTGATATAATACAAGCACACTTTTTTATTATATCAACCGGGATATCATCTAATCCAGTGGACTTTTTATTAGGTAGGTTAGCAATAACTTCCTCAACCTCTTCTTTAGTAGCGGGTATGAATATGAATGAATCCCTCAGACTATTATTGGAGGTTGTGCACGATTTAGATAAAGTATCACCGAAATGTTCAGATATTTTATTTTCAATAACGGTGGATAAGTAGTTGCCAAATAGATCAGTAATAATGTTCAAGTCCGTGGTTAAATGGCCTTCATGAGAAATTTCAAGTTCTCTCTGCTTTTTAGATTTGCCTGTGAAATTATTAGTGATAGTCCAGATTGCTTTGGATCTATTACTTGATTGTTTAATTTTGTTGTTATAAAATTCGCGTTTTTCCATTTTAATATTTTCATCCACTTGTTTTTTAATTTTTTTATAGTGCATTTTGATTTCATCGTCATCAGTTCTTTTTCTCAACCAATCTAATTGTTTTAGGTTATCCAGGTCATTTTTCAATTTGTTTGATAATATTATTTTATCTGAAAATTTTCGATTTTCAGCTACCTTTCTTTTTTTTGAGAATACCAAATCAAAGCACCATAAAAAATCACTTAAGAAGAGTTCGAAGATTTCATCTACATTGCCCATGTCATCAATGGATGGCATAATGCGCATTGTCTTCTCCAGATGAAAACAGAATTCCTTTACAGATACGTCATCGAAACTACGGTAGGTATAGTAGGGGTTTTCTTTTTTAGTATCATTCTCAGTATGAAGAGTCATATCAGTAAATTCGTTTTATTGGCAGTGTAAAAAATGGTGGCTTAAGACATTCGTGATATTAGTGATCTTGGTGAAACATGAGTTCCCGAATAGCAAAAATAATGACAAATTGCCGAAAACTACTTGCTGAAGGTAAGAAAATATTTGTTAAATAAAAGGAGAATATTAGTAATTCTTTTCCGCAACTTTTCATACAAAACTGTATTTTTTACATGCATTAACAATGACTTGAGTTTATTTGCTACACTAAATACCTATTGAGTTTTTGTTTTGTTTTGCTTTATGGGGAACCTTCTGTCTCCTTTTATGCATCATAGAAGAAAAAATCATGTTTTCAACTAATTTCTGTTTCAGATGATACTATGCTTAACGAAGTACCTTTAAGGAATATCATTGAGGATCCAGATTTACAGCAACAACGTAGTGCAGTGCAGGATCTACATACTCAAGGTAAGAAATAAATGAAAACCCATTACAAAATTTTTCACTAATTACCTGCAAAAAATAAAAACTTGAAAATTATGCTATGACTAGCTAGCCATTTTTAGTTTCACTGTATGCATCACCTTTCTTCATACCGTTCACTTTCACATAAAAAAAATTTTTCAGGCGAATTGTCTGACCACGAGCCACTGAGAAACACATCCGAACATCCAGATTTACAAGAAAAATGCAGTGAATTTGAGCAACACCCGTCAACATCACTCGTCTGGTTGACCAAGCTGAAAATCTGCCCCAAGCATCTCCACGCACACTAGAAGAAGATTTGATTGTTTCTAGTTCATCTTCGGATCTCTATGAACCTTCAAGTTCGTCTGATACAGAAAATGAGACCTCACTGGAAAGTGATGTAGAGGAAATTGCTAAACGTAAAAAGGTACCAAAAAAAAAGAAAAGAAACGAGAAGACATGGAAGAAAAATGTTAGGAAAGCTAAAAGGCTTAAGGGTGAGTCTTACATTGGCCACAGGGGAGTCGAGAAACCTTCACGCCCTCTTTTGCCGGCACCGTGCCTCAATAAGCCAAAACATAAGTGTGCAACTTCAGTTACCGAGCCCAACCGTATCAGGATTTATAATGATTTTCGCAATTTGAGCTGCATTGACGAGCAACGTCAATTTCTACATAATCACATTGAAAAAAATCCAAAAAAACGGACGACAAGAGGTATTGAAAATTCCAGAAAAAACTACACCTATGTGTATAGTCTTACGGTTGATGGAGTCAAGCTTACAGTATGTAGAGATTTTTTTATGGCCACATTGAATGTTACAGATGCCTTCATGAGAAGTGCCGCAAACAAGCTCTCATCCAATGGAATTCTAGAACAAGATAAACGCGGAAAACACCAACCTTCAAACAAATTACCACAGAATGTGGAGAAGTTTATACGAAACCAGATTCTAAATTTTCCAGCGGTAGAATCGCATTACTGCCGTAAATCTAGTGGAAAGAAGTACCTTGACTCATCCTTGAATATATCAATAATGTACAGGATGTACAAAGAGTTGTGCAGCACTGAAAATGTCCAAATTGTTACATTTGAAAAGTATCGCCAGATATTCTCCGAATATAACTTAGGCTTCTTCAAGCCGAAGAAAGACCAATGTAAGAAATGTTTGGAATTCGAAAATATGTCTGAAGAAGAGAAAAAGGCAGTACAGGAAGCGTATAAAAAACATCTCAATAGGAAAAATGAAGCTAGACGAGCCCGCGATGAGGACAAGTTGATAGCTAAAGAGAATCCCAAGGTTTTGGCATTTAATTTTGATTTGCAGGCAGTCTTAACAACGCCCAAAGGATCTGCGGGACAAATATTTTATTTGAGGAAACTAGCTGTGTTTAATTTCACCATTTACAATTTAGGAAACCAAAATGTTATGTGCTACCTTTGGGACGAAACAAAGGGAAAAAGAGGGGCTAATGAAATTGCGTCCTGTGTTTATGATTTTATTATGAGCCATTCTGAGATCGAGGAGGTCCGTATGATGTCTGACGGATGTGGAGGGCAGCAAAAAAATTCAATATTTGCAACCATGTGCATCCAACTCCTTGCGGAGCATCCATCATTGAATGTTATTGATCATCGGTTTTTCGAAACAGGGCACACTGAAATGGAGTGCGACTCCATTCACTCGAAAATAGAGAAAAAATCGAAATATGTTCCCGTTTATACCCCCGAGGGGTGGGCGCAACTTATAAGAGATGCACGTATCACACCATGTCCTTTTGCAGTAAAGTCATTGACGTTTGATGACTTTTCAGATTTTAAAGGATTTTCAAATAATAATTCTTTTAATTTCAATAACATTCCCTGGAGAAAGCTCTGCTGTCTTCGGTATATCAAAGAGAATAATTTCATAAATGTTATGTACAAAGTGGACTTTACCAACGATTTTATTAGAGTAGACTGCAAAAAAACCCGAGGCCGTCCAAAACAAGCCGACTTGAAGAAGGCCTATCAAAATGAATTGCCCATCAGCGAGGCAAAATGGAAAGACCTAGATAAAATGTGCAAGGATTTAACAATACCAAAAGCTTACCACGATTTTTACCATTCTCTGAAAACAAATCACATGGTGAGGGACAATTTACCGGAACCAGACATTAGTGAAGAGTCAGATACTGACGATTGACTAAACGTTAATTTTTTACTTACTTATTTGTACAGGAATTTGATGTTTCTTATAAGGTTGAGTCCGATACTTACAAACCTAAAGTAAATGTTTCATTCACTTTTTAGGTAGAGAAATATTTTTTTTATTTTTATCACTCTGCGACTGACGAAGACTATTCAAGTTTTTTTTGCTAGAGCAGTTTTATGTTTGTTCATTTTGATCAGTTCTTCAAAGCGTTGTGCTATCTTCTCAATAAAAAATATGTTTAATTATGCTAGTATCATGATTTCATTTGTTTTAACGAATCATTGTATATCTCAAATTTTGCAAAGCCAAAATAACGAATGTGCATTTTTTTGAAAAACATTACAAAAATGTAAAGTCTTCAAACTAGATCATTTATTGTTTTTCAAAAGTAGACCAGACAATATTGGTTGAGTGTCATAAAATGAAAACTCTATTTTTAGCATTGTCTTCAATGTTAGAAATGCGTTTTTCTCGAAACATCAAATATGCACATTCGTGAATTTGGCATTGGACCGACGATATGTAAGTGGCAGGATCCCTAATAAGGAAGTTGTAAAATATTGCTGGCCCCTGTCCGGCCCTGGACGCCCGGATTAATTATTCTGATAGTGCATTTTTCTTTGTTTTGTCTTTCTGAATGACATACTGAAATATGTAAGTGGTAGGATCCTTAATAAGAGAGTTGTAAAATATTGCTGGCCCCTGTCCGGCCCTGGACGCCCGGATTAATCATTCTGATAATGTACTCTTCTTTGTTCTGTCTTTCTGAATGACATACTGAAATATGTGAGTGGCAGGATCCTTAATAAGAAAGTTGTAAAATATTGCTGGCCCCTGTCCGGCCCTGGACGCCCGGATTAATCATTCTGATAGTGCACTTCTCTTCGTTTTGTCTTTCTGAATGACATACTGAAATATGTAAATGGCAGGATCCTTAATAAGAAAGTTGTGAAATATTGCTGGCCCCTGTCCGGCCCTGGACACCCGGAATAATTATTCCGATAGTGTACACTTCTTTGTTCTGTCTTTCTGAATGACATACTGAAATATGTGAGTGGCAGGATCCTTAATAAGAGAGTTGTAAAATATTGCTGGCCCCTGTCCGGCCCTGGACGCCCGGAATAAATATTTTGATACTGTACATTTCTTTGTTTCGACTTTCTGAATGACATACTAAAATATGTAAGTGGCAGGATCCTCAATAAGAAAGTTGTGAAATATTGCTGGCCCCTGTCCGGCCCTGGACGCCCGGATCAAATATTTTGATACTTTACATTTCATTGTTTTGTCTTTCTGAATAACATACTGAAATATGTAAGTGGCAGGATCCTTAATAAGAAAGTTGTAAAATATTGCTGGCCCCTGTCCGGCCCTGGACGCCCGGATCAATTATTCTGATAGTGTACATTTCATTGTTTTGTCTTTCTGAATAACATACTGAAATGTGAGTGGCAGGATCCCTAATAAGAAAGTTGTTAAATATTGCTGGCCCCTGTCCGGCCCTGGACATCCAGAAAAATTGTTTCGATTAGTACATTCCTTCCTTGATTATCCTAAATCAACATATTGGAAAATTGTTATCGCAGAATGCGGAATGGAAAAAATAAAAAATATTGCTGAACTTTATTGCTAAAGTAACTGGGATCATTTATTTTATTATTGATGAGACAAGACTCAATATTTTCCTTCTTTCCTGTAAACAGTATTGAACTATTATTTACTATGATGTGAGAACATTTGTTATTCGAATTTACCGTCAATAACAATAATTTGAAATTACCGCCATTGCAAAAATCGATCTGATTGGTCTCCTATTATACCACCCTATACTCTATACACAGATATCTCTGCAAATAATTTCTTCCACCATGTTTTAACATATGTTTGGGCGAAATTCGGGCCGCCACTGGTCAGTGTCGTCACTCTCCGCTCTGCGATTCTGCGAATGCGCCTCTTTTAGTCTTAACTCTTTACCTGTGGTCACTGCAGTGATGTCAACTCGCCCTAATCCCCACATCTAGGTATAATTTGATAAATTCAGGGTGTGTAGGGATGTAGGGACAGATTATTCGATGATACGGAATCGTGGGGATTTTTTGACTGTTCTCGTGGCTAGACAGGCCCAGCGACTATCTAACAAATGAAAACTGCGAATTTAAAAAAAAATACTCAGTCAACTGTCAGTTCATAGAGCGGTCGATAATTGTTCGCGGTCGCCAAGTTAATTTGATGACACCACAGAACTTAAACACAGAGGAGAAGGGAAAAACAGTGTTATGATTCTGTTCCTACAAGGACAACAAAAATGGCGCTGATAGCCCCTTGATGAGTTTGCGCATTAGCATGCATTAGTAAATGTTATTTGTCAATGACATTGTTCATTTGTTGTTTAATTACAATTTCTCAGTTTTTTCCTTTTTACACTAGATTTTTTTCTACGTTTTTGAAGTGTTATCATCATGCCTGAAAGATGTTTCATTTGGTCTTGCCAAAGCAGTGGTAAACTCCCAAATATTTACTATTTTCGGTAAGTAATCCTTTTTTTAGGTTACTAAACAGACCCGGCTTGGAAAATTTTTAAACCAAAACATGCTTTAATTTATTTTGTTGTTTTAGCTTCGGTTCCAGGAAGGAACTATGGCTTGAAGCCTTGGGAATACCTGATAAGGATATAAGTTCTAGGAATCTTCTTTGTTCCAAACATTTTGATGCATCAGATGTTGTGTTTCCTGATAGTGAACATGGCAGAGAGGCTCAAACCAAAAGCTGTGCCCAAACATTTCATAATCAAAAGGAATTAATCAACTGACATTCTTTCTTCTGAACCGCCGAAAAAAAAAGTTGCAAGGTATGTGATTACTTTGATTAAAATCTCCAGATTCCCTGATTTGTTTTCATACCTACTAGTTGTTATAAAACAGATTTCTTTTATCATAGCATGCAAATTAACTTTTGGAAATGATGATACTAGCCCGGAAGCCAGCGACCTTTTTCAATGACCAAAAGCACAAAAGCTGAAAATGTTTTCTGAGCTTCATTTAGTATCACTAGTAAGGAAATCGGCCTCCAGCTGGCGCACTTCCGGGGGGTGTAGTTGCAGCAGCGTTCCAAACACGTAAAATTATAATAAAAAAAAACTGATATCACAAAAGCTGAAACTTTGTTAACATGTTGATTATCATACAAATAGATCAAAAAACGTATCCAGCCGAACTTATACTGGGGGATTATGCTCCAGCTTTTCACGTAAAGAAGTTAAAAATATGCGCTGAGTAAACTAATACCGCAAAAGCTGAAATTTGGTGAACAAATAGTTAAATTAATAACATAAACGATGAGAACATCCAGCTTTACATTGGGTGGGGGAAAAGTGCCCAGCTGATGCAGTGAAATACGCTGCGCATGGATATCTCGGGCGCATCGTATCTTTGACTGCATCAGCTGGACACTTTGCCCTCACTAAATGATGAGCGGGATTTTTTTTTGTTTAACCCATTATTTCAACTATAGGTACACCAAATATCAGCTTTTGCGGTATCAGGTATCTATACTTCTCTCATTAAACACAGCGCGCTGTCCATGCATCAAATGCGCTGGCAGAATCCACAGATTTATCATCGAATATGTGCTGATGGACAGGTGTGAACCGACACTGCCCTCTCTCGGCCAACTCCTACTAGAATTTGGCGCCTCTGCTCAGAATCAGAGATGTTCTGATGTTCGGTGGCTCAAAATTTGTTACCTACACTGAAAAAACATGCTTGCAAAAATAGCAGAAGTATTTTGTGGTATATTCATAATGAAAAAAATATTTATGTTCCGACTAATTTGGCCACACAGATAAATTCAAAATGAAACTGCAAAAAAATTGTGATCATCTGATATATTTAGCCAAGGGGAGTGCAGTGATCGCATCAGAGTTCAATTCATCATTTTTTTAATCTCTTGGAAACGGCGTTCATTTGATGTGTACAAATTTGTCTAAATGACATATTCCAATCGAAGCTGCGACAATGTCCAACATACATCCCTTTTGTGTATTTTGCTCCAAAAAAGGCGGAAAATTGAATCTTTTTGATGCAAATAAGATAACTAAGTGCATACCAGATGATAACGAAGATATTTCGTGGATCAGCATCAATTGCAGCGATCATGAAAGCGATGATGGGAACGACGACGATGAATCCGAAGGATCCGAAATCTGAAAACATTGTTGATATCTGATTTTGTTACACACACTAGTTCACTATGTCTGTTAATTCGTATTGTTAGTATATTTTTTGTGAAGGAATACTGAAAAAAAAATTGATAGTAAACCTATTTTTAATTATCTTCCTTCAGATCAGAAATGTAATACCTACGTATTTATCATTAAATAAATGCATGCATGTGCGCTGAGTTTGAGAAAACTATAGATACCTGATACCGCAAAAGCTGATATTTGGTGTACCTATAGTTGAAATAATGGGTTAACAAAAAAAACCTCCAGCTCATCATTTTAGTGAGGGCAAAGTATCCAGCTGATGCAGTCAAAGATACGATGCGCCCGAGATATCCATGCGCAGCGTATTTCACTGCATCAGCTGGGCACTTTTCCCCCACCCAATGTAAAGCTGGATGTTCTCATCGTTTATGTTATTAATTTAACTATTTGTTCACCAAATTTCAGCTTTTGCGGTATTAGTTTACTCAGCGCATATTTTTAACTTCTTTACGTGAAAAGCTGGAGCATAATCCCCCAGTATAAGTTCGGCTGGATACGTTGTAGCATTTGAAATTGCTACAAAATAATTTTTAGTATCGTTTGCATGAAAATTCAAGCGAATTTGCTTTAGTGCAACATTTAGAGTTGCAAAGAATCATTTTAATTTTTTTGTTTCATACATTACCATTTTGTAAATATTAACATTTCAGATCTAGACAAGAAGTCATACTTACAGAGAACATTCAGTCTGATACTTGGTAAATAATCCTGAAGTACTTGAATGTAA